GGAGGCGCGGGGGGAACGCGGCGCACGGCCCGTCCCGCAGCACGGCGCAGCCACCGAGTTCGTCTTTGCTCTCAAAATCCCACACACCGCTGCACACAGCCACAGGCACCAGAACGATGCCCTTTTGTTTCTCTTTTTCTTCCTTTTTTTTTCAATTTTTGTTACAAGGAGTGGCAAACACCAAAGCTCGGCCCCAATTCCTGCCACAGCTTTGCTGTCCCATCTCACCGCCACAAAAGTTGTGTGCAGAGCCCTGCGCGAGCGCGGCGACACGGGCGCTCACGAGTGACCGGCGGGACGCAGCGGAGACCCAGCTGCGCTGCAGCCCRCTCCACACGTGTGGAATTAAAGGCTCCTCCACAGCAGCATTAGCCACAGCCCCTTAATCATACCCATTCACACACATTCTGCCTTCTGTGAAGCAGGGAAAGGCACAATTCCAAGCGAAGGGACTCCCAAGCTTAGACGTTGCTCCGTGTCTTGCAGGCTTCCCCTGACGCCAAGTTAAGTGATCATAAAGAGCTGAACCACACGACACTGCTCAGTCCATAGCACAAAGGTAATGATACSTTTTAAAAATAAGCTTTGACAGGCGTATGTAACATCCCTGCGCTGCTGTATGCGTTTGTGATGTTGTAAGAAACACCTGCTGGGCAGAAACCATGTCAGAGCTGCGTCCTGCTCGCATCGCTACAGCGGGGTCTGAGCTTTCACAGAACAAACCCCTTTTTGCATACAACAGTGGGGGCTATTTATAATTTCTTCAGAAGAAAAAGGCAGTGACCGTGGCATTTAATAGAGATCACAGGGAGTTTCTATATGAAGTGAATTGCCCCTGCCTGCCGCAGCCTGATGCGCAGAACAGACACGTGCCACAGACCCCGTCTGTCCCTTGAAGGTTTCTCATGCAAACGCTGGTGAAGGCTGGCTTGGCTTAGCTTATGAGAAGTGACACCACGGTGGCCCGTGGCACTGTGGCCGGGGACTACCAATATTTTTGTTGTTCCATTCAGCGGAGCCTCAAGAAGGGGGATAATCAGGGCAAGGCTCAAACTCAGGTCTCCTGCATAAACACCAAGAAACCCTGAGCAAGCGCTCGCGGACACATCATCTTTCAAAACGAGGTGCATGTATATAAATATATATATGTATACATCTAGTCCATGCAAGCACAGGGAGAAGGTGGCTGTGACGCAGCACCCTCRCGCTGTCCCAGTGCGGTCGCGGGGCTGCCTGCGGAATTCCCCCGGTGACACAGGGGGATGTCCTGGAAGGCTCCGGGCACCATCCCTGGCTCGGTGTCACCTCCCCCACAGCGCCCCTGCCCGGGGACGTGGAGGGGGAATTTCAGCAGCCCAGCACTGCTAACAGGGGTGCTTCCCAGCAGGTTGCACAGAGCAGCCTTTGCAGTGTCCCTAACTCCTGCGTGAGGACAAAGGGGTCRGAGCCAGCAACAGCTTCTATGGCCCTTCCACAGCAGTCCCTCCARTAGTCCCTCATCCCTTGATCTCCTACAGAGCCCAGCCTGATCCCAGTGGCAGAGCGTATCCTACCCGCAGGCTCTCATTTTCAGTCCCGCAGCAATCACTCATTTTATTAACTATTAATTTTGGTGCCTGGACACAGTGACATCTTAAGATTCACTTACACACCTTCACTACCATCATCCAAACATACCTACCATGCAATACACTGAAACACTTCCTCATGGAATAGTCTCCCACTACCTCACCACTGTTTCCAGCACAAGGGCTCGGGATGCAATAGCAATCCCAGAATAAAAGACATTACAGAAAAATCTCAGCATACGAATTACTAAACAGCACTCAAGCTAATTGTTCGAAGATGTCAGGCTTCCCAGCATGGAGCTCTGAGTAAGTCTTGTGGTCTCCTTACTAGGCACATTTCTCTCATGCCAAACATGCTTACCCCAACCCCGTATTCAAGAGCTCTGCATCAAAACTAGTGGTGTTTCAGGAGGACGTTAGTGGAAAGTCGTGCCAGCAATCAGGAATTTGGTACTGTAGCAGCCCTGGAGAGATATTAAGCAAAAGTTCTTCCCCTCATACTTCCCTTACCGAACTTTTGAGTCATTCCCCCCCAATATTCTGCACATGTTTTATTTCCCACCTTTGTGAGTGCCTGATAAGAGAAATTTATTACAGTGTATAATGCCTTAGTCACTCAGCTTGACCTTTATCGGTGTGCTAAGTTCATGCTCTAACTTACGTTAGGGCAACTTCCTGAAGACAGTAGTGTTTGCATATGACTAATTGGGACAAATCCGCAGCCGGCGAGGCGATGAGTCAGCAAAAGGCTCRGCAGGGACAGGGGCAGGAATCCGGCTGCCGCTGCGTCCACGTGGAGCAGCGAGATGCACGGCTGGATGTCACCAGGACGGGCACAGCAGCTCTGGACTGTCCCGGGACGCGACTGCAGCCCTGTCCAAAGTCAGCAAGGAAAACTCTCCTGATTTCAGTGGGAGAAAGACCAGGGTTTGTGTTTTCTCAAGCATCTTCTCTACTGAGAAGGCTTCTATTTTTATATGTGTGGACTGTCCAGATGGAGGATTTCAGCCAGAAGTCAGGACTCCCTCCATGTAAAACACTTGGTTTGGTAACTGCCATCACACAGGATGCCTCTGCARCAACCCCCTGCAGTGCTGGCTTCCCCGGGCTTTCATTTGGCATTACAACTTGTTACACTTAAAGAAATAATATTTATTGATTCAGCAAATAAGCACGGTTCTACAGGGAAGAGCATAAGCCAATCTAACRATATTTGGCCACAAAACATGTCCTCCCCACAGCACCCCTGTGGGAACATTTACTTGAAAGAAAAACGCTCTGAAATCTCTATGACTGTGCAGACCCTTGGGTCTTTTACTGACTGCCGTTAATCTAATGGTAGTTACTGTGACTTATTATTTTCAGCAATACAAGAACCTGAGATCCTTGATCATCTGCTAGTTCCTCAACAGAAGGTGGTTTATTACCTTCCCCATCAGGCTCGTTGGAGGCCTGTACTTAGTGGTGTCTCTGACTTTCAAGCTTCTCCTCTCCTTGTCAGGGCAGGATCTTGTTTCTTCATCTTTCCCCATTCGCACACTCAAAATAATCCTTTTAAACCAGGAACACCCCTTAAACCCTGCTTGAGGGAGTGTGCCTGGGCCATAGGAAGGACTCTAGTTGCTGAAAGCACTGCGTTCAGCTCAGTGAAATTAGGTTTGAGGGAAGGATTTCCAACGCAAAAAGGAGTTTGCCAGCTGAAAACACGATGCACAAGGGCACTCAGCACGGACTACGTCCTGCCGACCCCAGCTGGGYAGTATGGTGTGGGTATCGCAGTCCTTTTCCTGCTGTGGGCCAGAAGCAGGAGGGAGTTTTTAAATTATCCTCATGGAAGAGGATGGGTTTGTGGTTGAAGCCCTTCAAGGGGACCCTCAGATCATGCTGGCATGCAATGAGGCACAGTGATGGGATTTGGAAAGCAGACGCAGAATTTGGTGGCTAAAACCTTGGATGACAGAGAAGTTTGTTCGGTCTCTGTGCAGCCCAGACCAGGCTCGACACCCACCTGGACGAAGCCTCTCTCCTTCCTTCCCATTTCCCTCTTGCTTTACCCCAGGAACTGGAGTATTTATAGAGCCTGGAGGTTTAAAACCCTGCTCCAAACCAGGGAAAGCAGAGCCTGGGGGGCAGCTGTCCGCACTGGAGGTTCAGTGCTCGGCACTCACTGGGTATATCCAAATAACATCAAGCACTGCTTGCAAGGCCATGKGCTTCAGTCTGCAGAACAGCAGCACAAAAACACCCCGTTTTCCTTGTCTTTGCAGCATGGTACATTTGGACCTGCCCCCGACGGAGGGTTTCTAACCTGCATCCACAAACACTGCCCAGGCTCCCACCTACCTACCTGTGCATTTGACTTTCCCCTCGGCCCTGCTTCCCTTTGGAAGCAGGTAAGAGAAACGCTGTGGAGAGACCTAGGGGAAGGTGGACAGGCCCCTCGCGAACAAGTTAATACCCAGCCCAAGGTAGTAGCCAGCACGGGGACACCCAGGCTGTGTCTCGAAAGCAGAAGTGGTTTTTGTTTCCTGCAACTGTCTGACTCCTGCAGCCAGTTGTGACCAACAGGAAAGTTTTGAAAGAAGTTTCTTCTTTTTTTCTTCTTTCTATTTTCTTATTTTTTGGTTCTTTTTCTCCCTCCTGCCAATAGCTTGGTTGGTTCTACAGCCTGGGCCACAAGTTTTTTCCATGAACCTAAAGGAAAAAAAAAAAGCAAAAACCAAACCGCTCTGAAATAAATTGAAAAATGAGCATGCATGGGCTCTATTTGCAATTAAAATGCAAAGGGGACCAAAGCACCTCACCCCATCAAACGCTGAGAAACATTTCAAAGCYGGTTTTCTTCCTGTTTTGGCATTAAAATTCGCTTTTCAGGGTGCTTCTGCTTAACATTTCCCCAACTTGGACCCAGCTTAAGCACAAAGGACTTGGGCTTTTGTTTGTTTGTTTGTTTGTTTTCCCACAGCACATCAGAAAACGCAGCGCAAGCTTTCATGGGCACGGCTGTTGCAACACGCCTGTCAGAGGCCAGCAGGCAGTTCTGGGGGAATGAGGTAATTAATATATTACTTAAGCGTGCAAAGACAAGTTAGGAGCAGCTGTCTTTCTTCTCTTGATATGGCAACACAACCATTAAAACAATAACTTCTTATATCTTTTTTTTTTTTTTCTTTTCCTCTCTCTGTTTTCCCAGACTGCTAAAAGCCAAAGCTTTAAGAGACCATCGTGTTTTCAGGACTGGTAATTTCTCTCTCAGACACCCTGGTTCTCCCAGGAATTATTTGAAGCAGCAAAAGGAAAATCCTTGTGGTGATCCCTTTAAGGAAACAGTGGCATTAAAGTGAGCTCACGAGCTTCCAAATCCTAAACTCGTCCCCTAAAAAATGCTTTTTTAACTGGTCTTACTGAAATCCATTGCTCCACCAGCCTCAGGTTTTCCGGCTATTAAGCTGGAATCACCAAGCRGGTGAGCAGGGCTGATCCAGGCAGCTGTGGGATGTGCCGGGTACCCTGAACCGGATCCCGGGACCTGGCAGACCCCATGGCTGGAGGAGGGATCCCATATCTCTGCTCCCAGCCTTGCCCGAGCCAAGGCCATAGGGGTGAATAAACCAGTGTGCCCAGCTCACAGGGGCCCCTCTTTGCCATCTAACAACAGGGCCGAGACCCGGCAGGTTACGGCTGCTTTTATTTTCTTCCAGTTAATTAAATGATCCATCGCAGGCCTGGCTCTGAGCCTCGCTGGTGCTGACTGAATCACATTCCCCGGCTCAAGAAAAGATGATCAATAGCCATCAATCAATGGCCAAAGTGGTGAGTTTTATTTTATTTTATTTTATTTTATTTTATTTTATTTTATTTTATTTTATTTTATTTTATTTTATTTTATTTTATTTTATTTTATTTTATTTTATTTTCCAAAATGCAGAAGCAAGTGGGTCGCAGCAAGCAGAGCTCTCCCGCCGCCTGCAGAAACCTCCTGACAGAGGGAAGGAGGCCAGAGCAGCCAGGGCTTTAGCTCCGGGTATGGTTACACTTCCCTACTTACCATAGACTTCCCGCGTGACCACAGACTAAACACTTAGGTCCAGACCCACAGGGAGGTTCAGGCACCTGAGATTAAAATCAGTTGGACTTAGGTACATAAATAGGCTGCGGAGCTGGGCCCTGGAGAGCAAGATCGAGCTCCCCGCTGGTTAATGGCAYTGTCGGTACCTTCCAGGGCTGCAGCAGAACAGCAACAACTCAGTTACGGAAGGCAAAGACCTGGGAGAGCCAAGGAAAGGCAGGGAATGAAGGTACAGCTCATCCCACCACAAAGCAGCAACCCAAGCACCCTGCCTGGTAGGTGGGGAAACCAAAGAAAAGCAAAGTGTAGAACAGGCTGGGGAAAAATATATGTTTGCTTGTATTTTCTTATGAAGACTTGAGTGGGTTATGGTGGGAGCTCCTGGSTACAGCCCTGCAGGGAACAGCAAAACCCTGGGCTCATGTGTCAAAACACAGGATGGAAAGAGTTTGCCCAGGAACTGAATAAGCAAAATTCAGAACTCTGATGACAAAGCTGGGGCATCAAACCTCGCAGTGCTATCTGAGATCAAATATTAACGCGACTCTTCATCAATGAGAGGCAACTGATGAGCGTGGGAAACAAAGATCTCATAGGAACTGCATCTAGATAAGATGACCACAGACCTCACCATTTTCAGAGCCAGATAGAAATTTGTTTATGTTGCCAGTTTTTGCTCAACACAGCCCTTTAATACACATATGTGTTCATGCACCAGTAAGGCAGGGAGACGGATGCACAGGTATTTTTTTTCCTATTGTCCTGGAAAGGGGGAAAAAAATTGTGTTCATGGATGCGATTTTTGCTTTTAGGAACCTGAAAAAGAGAGGAATTTTTGCCCAGCATTGCTGAACTCGGGGCTAGATACATAACAAGATCTAGATGCAGGAAGCAAGATCAGAACTAAGCTGGGAAACGTTTCCTTGTAGCTAAAACAGAGAGCAAAACAAGAGGCCAGTCTTCAGGTTCATCACGAGCAAAATGGAACCAGAAAACTGAACAGTGAGGTCAGAAGCAATTAAGTTCCATCACTGTCTTATGGCTTCTGCTATTATAAAATAAATAAATACACAAAAAAAGGTTTGGAAGGAGCACGCCGAGAGCATCAGAACCGCTCATCTCACTACAAGTGCCAAGCACAAGCGCAAGGAAGCAGCTTCTCCAGGTGGGAGCAAGCGTAGGCCTGCACAGGGCAGCTCGAGGATGGGACGAGCGCTTGAGCATTAAACCATCTTCCCCCAAAGCAACAACGGAAGAAAATGTAACTGGCAGAGAAGAACCTGCTCGCTGCAGGAAGAGCACATTCTGATGTGATAGCTGGAACAGTCTCGCAGGCTTTAAAATTAATTTAAACTTGAAAACAACAATAAGGAAAAACAACCCGTGAGGTACCGAGATGCACAGGTGAGATTATCCGTATGGATTGGGTGAGGAAGTCATGAGCTGGGCTGGAAAGGAATTAAATGCATTGAGAGCAACTGAGGAGCCATGATAATTTTGGAAAACACCGGGTCTCGTGTCCAGCAGCCCTTGTTGCTCTGAGAAGCCTCCCCACGACCTCAGAGCTTCTCCAGGATTTGTGAGCACACGAGGAAGATGAGGAAGAAGCTGCCCCCATGGACGCAGCCACCAGGTCTCGTGGGAATGGCATGAGGAAAGTCTGATTTCCTGCAGTGAGCGGCTGCACCTGATCAGAGAAAGTCACTCTTATCCAGGAGCATCGCGGCCCTCTCTAATCTCTGCTGCCGGGGAGGCTCCTCCCAGGTCGCTGGGTTCCCTAAACAGCAATTAGGGCCCGCGAGCCGGGTTATCAACCCTGGCGGAGCCCGGCGGGACCTGCCCTCCCTGCTGCCACCTCCAGCAGGGTCCAGCCCTCACCCCGAAGCCTTGGCAGGGCTGGCATCCCGCTCCGGCGCTTCCGACCCTTGTCGAGGGTGCCTTGAGTTCCTGGTGAGCACGTGGTGTCAAATGAGGGTGACTTGAGGGTGGTTGTGTGCGGTCACCCTTCCCAGTAACCATCCTATTCCCATTCCTATTCCTATTCCCATTCCCATTCGCATTTGCATTTGCATTCCTATTCCTATTCCTATCCCATTCCCTACCCTTCCCAGCTGGATGTGGCCACATCTCCAGCACCAACAACCTTTTTCTTCCATGCTTGGTGAGACCAAAAGCTGTCCTTATTTCCCTCAGATGACAACCTGGCTGGAAACCTTCGTAATCTGTCATGTGGCCAGTGGCATATTGCAAAGCTCTCGGGCTAGCGGAGTCCCCTTCCGTCTCCAATTCATCCCTGAGCCGAGGAACTAGGACCCAGCTATGAAAACCTGTATCCCTATCATCTCCCCCGGTGCCAGCTCCCGTGGGCAGCTCAGCACAAGGATTCGGTGAATCCGACGCACAGGGATTTTATGGGAAACCACAGTGGATGGGTGTCACCACATCTGGACCTCACTTAAAACAAGACACTTGTCAGAAGCTCTTGGTGTGGCTGCTGAGGGCACGAGCACACCAAAATATAACCAAAAATAGTGAGCCAGACGAAAGCAAGCCACAAAACTCAAGCGTTTTTGCAGAGCACAGGGCTGCTTGCAGCTGCCAAGAGAAGACTTCTCTCCCGGGCAGGGTCAGGGTGATCCCCTCCCGTGATCTGCTCCCGGAGCGCCACATGGACGTGGATCAGGCTGCTCCTGCTTGTTTGGACCTCACAAACCTATTTTCTGCTCTCCCATGCAAGGGCTGGCACTTATGTAAAGCCACTGGATAATTAAAAAAAAAGACATAGGGATTTAAAACGCAGAATTGCAAAATACTAATATCAGCACTGCTTTTTAAGTGACTTAACCTATATAGAAAACACAATTGACTGTTTCCTAAATGTTCAAAGGATGAATGAGGCCGAGTTGCAAAGTATTATTCTCTCTGGCAGGTGTTGAGGGAGCATCTGGGTATGAAAGGAGTCAATGTCATAAATTTTGTCATCCTGTGTACTTTGGAGTACGATTTATTTGTGTGCATTCAGATGATGGCTTTTCTGGTAATTTCACCCTTTCCCAGCAAAGAAGCCTTAATCTCCTTACTGGAAATTGTACTATTTATGCAGTAAATCCTGCTTCTAAAATTGCTTCAGATCGCAAGTTATGTAACCTAAACAGATGGAGTTTGAACAATTTTTTTGTATGTCAATTCATATTATAATCTGCACAGGCTGCAACCATTTATCAGCTCATTTGCAGCATCAAGAAAAATTGACTGAGGATATAAAATATGCATTTAAGCTATGCTTACCTAGGGATACTTATGCCAGTGACAACACCGTCACTTAATAWTAATAATAATAATAATAATAGTGCTTATTAATGACTTTCCTTATTCAGAACAGAACTCTGTGTGATATAAATAACATATTATATTATTTCCACCAGCATTCCACAAACCTGGGGTTATATGTACACATCAACCTGCAGCGCTGCCATCAGGCTGGATGTGTGAGAGGATTTGTGAGATGAAATCGGTGAGATCTGGCTGAGCAAGCAGCAAGGAGGAGCAAAAGAGATGGAGAGAAAAGAGGTAAGGGGATGGCAATCAATAAGAAGAGCTTTGATTCAACTCCTAAGCAACATTAAGCCTTATTTATAATCATGAAGTGTCYGCCTAGCCTCCAGCTGCTGATGCACCTACATTTTAAAAGCCAAAAAATAATTTAAAAATTCCCATTAGTTTAATAGTCCTCATGTTAACACTCACACTCTGGCACATAAAAATCCCAAAGGCTCAAATGTGCTTGCACAGATTTTACCCTTGCTTGCTACTAATGTGGCTGTTCTTGGTCGATAGGAGCTTAAGCTAAAGCGTAGTAAGGGAGTACAAGGAATTAGATGGAAAAAGAGGATGAAAAGGGATAGGAGGGAAACGCAGGAAGCAAAAGCTATTCCAGATAAAATAAATGTAAACAGAATATCTAGGTTTTCTTAAAACTGAAGGAGACAATCAGGTGTTTGGGGGRAATAGAAGAAAGGAAGGATTTGAGCCAAAATGCTTGAGGAAGATGAGGAATCTGCAGCTGCCTGCAGCCAAGGGCAGCACCATCAGCCCTTTCCTCTTCTCACATTTGGCAACAAACCTTCAGTAAATGTTTCTGAACAGGACGGTAAGAAACAAAGTCAGCAGAAGTGTGTGAATCCACATGTGGTCACAGACCCCCAAATCCTTTTTTTTCTTTTTTTGCCCCTCTTTTAATGTCTTTAAAGGTGGTGAGGCCATCAAGTGACAGTGGAGGTCTGACAGTAAGACCTACATACTTCAAAGCCAGCCCCCATTTTAGCCAGAAAATTGCCATTTTGTTCTATATAAGGCTTCATAACCCTGTGAGCTCCTCCACTTCCACACTGGGGGCCCTACCAACCAGGTACATCTAATGGGAGAAAAAATATAATAGCCTTTTAATTGATTCAGGATCTAGGCCAATGATTAATTTACTCAGGGTCCTTTTTTTTATTATTAGATAAAACTTCAAAGATCTCCTTTCTTTTCACTGAGAGATGGGCTTCTGCTGCTGCTTGTAAATATGTGTAGATGTTCAGCTGCACACATATTTGCTCAGGCTTAAAAAGCAGGCTCGCTTATAGAAGGGAGAGCTCGTGCTGGATGATGTAATTTACTTGACTGGGTATTTTCTGCTCTTGCACAAGTGTGTTAGTCGATGCAAGCAGATTAACCTGAGCGCCAGCCCGGCGCTTGCTTCCCCAGACAGTAATTCAGCRTGCAGCAGAATAAAAGGATCCAAAAGGATTTTTTGGATGGGTGAAAGTCTGTGTGTGTGTGTGCAAATCGGTGCAAAAGCCCCAAGGACCAGCTGACCTGCCAGAGCTGGATGCTGTATCTGCACTTACRCAATCGGAGCAGCACTAAGA